AGCCAGAGATGATGCACTGTTGGAGATCCTCCCTGCAGGTTTCTCCCAAATAGGCTGGGTTGCAGCTGTGTTTACTGGCTTCCATGGAGCAGGATTCTTTGTTATTTCCTCTCTCCTCCTCCTCCTCCTCCTCCTCCTCCTCCTCCGCCGCCGCCTCCTCCTTCCCTCAGGAACGGCCGCGGCTGCCGGCGCCGCCCAAAGGCGTCATCAACCGGCGTCTGGAGGGAAAGGGCGGGGCTTCGCGCGAGGCCGTGAAGCAGGGGAGAAGGGGGGACAGCGAGGAGTGCTCCGCCGCTCGCTCGTACGCGTGACGTCAGCACGTCGGCGCAGCGCCCTGCCCTTATTAAAAAAAAGAAGCAGCCCGCGGAGGCGGGGAGCATCCGGGTACTTCTGGGAGGTGTTCTCAGGGCGTGCGCGTGCGCCGTCTCCATGGCGTTTCCAACCGTCGCTTGTTTGCTTTCTCTGCCCCACCTTGGTGGGTGTTCTCATGGCGTGCGCGTGCGTCGTCTCCATGGCATTTCCAACCGTCGCTTGCTTGCTTTCTCTGCCCCACCGACATTCTCCCGTCTCCTGTTTGCCACCTCCCTTCCCCCCGGGTCCTCCTGTGCAGGAATGTGTGCATGAGACATCAATAAATAAAATTTAAAAATAAAGAAAATAAAGCGTGCTGCTTATATACCGCCCCATAAATGAACGAAGCAAACAAACAAATAGGGCCAATAAAGCAAGCAAAATAAAACAGGAGCCCGCTTCAAATGAACGAAGCAAACAAACAAATAGGGCCAGTAAAGCAAGCAAAACAAAACAGGAGCGCGCTTCAGAAGCTGCTTTTTGAAGTTCGACCTTTCCTAGGGCCATCATCATCACCCACTTCTTCAGACCCAAGGGGTGCAAAATTCGTGCCCCGTATTTTTGTCCCTCAAGGTGGTGGTGCGTCACGTCCACAACACAGATCATCCAGGGACAGAGGCCGGTTGAGTGCTCATGAACTGGGTTATTATCCCAGTGTCGTCGTCCTAGGTTGGGGCCCCTCATGAGAAGGCAAGAGGATTCTCTGGAAAAGACCCTCATGGCGGGGAAAAGAGGAAGGCCTAATATGAGATGGATGGCCTCCCTCAAGGAAGCCACGATTTTCGAGGTTGCTGCAAGAGCTGCGCAGAGCTGTGTGGGGGATGGGACCTGTTTGAGAATGCTCGTGCGTAGGCTCCCGAGGTGACTTGACAGCACCTAAGACCAACACACTAATTAACCCGCCCTTGGCTAGGGTGATAAGATCCCAAAAAATGCAAGGACACCACAAGGAATTTCTTACTCAAGGCTGAAATGTCTGTCAAAATCCATCAAGCGAGGGGGCTGAAAATATTGGCATTAAAACAAAGCATCAAGGATGCACAAAGACAGAAATGAGAAAGCAAGGATATAAAATCCTAATGAGCCCAGGACTAATTAATGTGTCCACCCACCCCATCTTTTATCTTCTGGGTCCTAGTCAGTTCGTCACCTGCTACCTCTTTTGGCCTAAAAGGTGAAACGGATGGAAATGGTCGACAGCAAAAAATGCATGGTGCAGATGACATTATGTGCAAGAGTTGCCCATGATGCTGAGGTTAGGATCTGTCAAGGGAGACTATTTTATACCCAAAAGTCAGTGGTTCCCAACTGTGGGTCCCCAGAAATCCTGGCTAGCAGAGTTAGGGGTGAAGGCTTCTGGGAGTTGCAGTCCAAGAATATGTGGGGACCCAAAAACTGGATTATTATTATATCTAGTTTTCAAAGAAGGAGATGTGTTCGTTTGCGCAAGCATATCAGACAAAAACAAGATTAAGATAGAGAAGCCTTGAAGATATTACAATATTTTTATCTTCAGTTTTTTTTTCCATTTTTCTCTGAAATTGTAGAGCCCCGAGGTCAAGTTTCCGTGGAACACTATTTCTCAAGCCCTGCCTTGAGAGGACACCAAAATGCTGACAACCAGAGAACACCCTCATTCCTTCATTGCAGGATGCTTTGAGCTGATGGAAGTGATAGACCAAAAACTTTGTAGAACTAAGGATTCCCACAGCTGTTTCAGAAGCTGACGTCAGCATTCATTTTCATAGGATTTCATAGGATTTCCTAAGAAGTAGCTGTGTCACCATGCCTAAGGGCAGCTTCATTTCCAAGAACATCAGTAGAACTTAGCACACTACGGGATATCGGAGAAAAATAAAATAAAGATTTTTTTTGCACTAAATCTCCCTGCTAGTCATCAGGCTGGTGGGTAATGGGAATTGTAGGGCAAGACAAGGATTCTCCCAGGCTGTGGTGACCAGTTAGTTGCTTGTAAAGGGCAGGGCATAGCTCCCTGCAAGCTCACTAGCTTAACCTAAGGGGGGGGGGTACAGCAACGCCATCTGCAAAGAGAGTGAAAGAATAATCAGTGGGTTGGACTAGATGGTCTTTAGGTTGCTTCACACTCTATGATTCTATGGGTCCCAAAATGATGGTTTGGCCTAAAGCATAAAACTGCATTTGCTTCACACTCTATGATTCTATGGGTCCTAAAATGATGGTTTGGCCTAAACAAGCATAAAAACTGCATGTGTTGTTGTTTAGTTGTTACGTCGTGTCTGATTCTTTGTGACCCCATGGACCAGAGATCACACCAGGCCCTCCTGTCTTCCACTGCCTCCCTGAGTTGGGTCAATTTCATGTTGATCCCTTCGATGACCCTGTCCACCCATCTCGTCCTCTGTCATCCCCTTCTCCTTTTGCCCTCACACTTTCCCAACATGAGGATCTTTTCCATGGAGTCTTCTCTGGAAAACTGCTTGTAGACGCCCCCCCGCCCAAAGGAACTTTTGCAAACTGTGGGAGTGTTCCGTCTGAGAAGGTGCACCCCCCACAAGTGACCCTTCCAGCATCTTTGAATAAGGAGATTGTGAGAAAGCAGGGAGGGGACTTTCAGAGCAGTCTTTATTTTAATTTTACTTGACTGAAGTATGTTCGGTCCACAGAATTTAAAGCTCTGTGCTGAGGGAAGAGGGGCAAGGGGCCGAGGGGTTGCGACGGCATCTTTTGGTCAGGCGAAAAACTGCTAAAGCCAGGAAGGCTACGATGACCCCAGCCATCAGCACGGAGAAGCCCACCGTCACACCCGGCGGCTGCTCTGGACCTATAGAAGCGGAAAGAGAAGAGGAAGAGACCAGCTGAGCACCACTGTGAAAATGGGACACTTTTGGGAAAGCATCGACCCCTTTTAATGCATTTGTCCCGCCACTCCCTTCGCTTTGCCATCTTTTCTCAAAGTGGCGTGCCGTAAGGTGGTCTTGCACAGCTTCCAATTCTAGATGTCAAAGTTGGGGCCGAGCCCTGTGCAGAAGAGCGAGGGTCCTCAAGACCTCTCAGCCCGACACAACCGAGGTAAATATCCAGGCGCCTCTCCCCGTCCTGTCCCAGCACCCCATGGCCGACGGGGACGTTGGATCCGCTCTGCTGGGAGCCGAGGATCGCACCTTTTGCTGCCAGGTTGACGGCTTCCACTGGCAGTTCCCCGGGAGGGCGGGAGGTGGCAGCATTTTCCAAGGACCGGGAGGCCAAATCTGCCTTGGGGTCCAACGGTGTGTGTTCATCTAGGAAGGAAAAAGCACAGCTTCAGTCTTTAGTACAGTCCATAAGTTCTGGCGTAGAACACAGCGCTTTGAACAAAGAAGTGAAAACACAATCTGTAGTTATTCCCCTCTGCCTCTGGGACTTCTACTTTAAAACACCCCCCCAATAAAAAACAGATCCTTTCACATAGATGGAGGCATGAGATTACTTCAGCTGATGCACAAAAGGGAGGACGAGTCCCACACACATACGATTTCTCAGATAGTCTCTCTCCTAAGACGTTTTTAAAAAAATAAACAGTGCCATTGGGTTTCTTACACTGTGAGTGTTGTTAACGTGGTTGGATTTTATCTGTTAAACTGACCAGGAGAGGGCGTTTGTACGAAGAGGGCAGTACTATATATAAATTAAATAAAATAAATTCTCCCCGGACAAGACTCCTGCTTGTTTGTTTTACAGCTTAACGGCAGCTTCTTCACCTAGATGGATGCTAATGGTCATCACAAAAAAAAAATTCTACATGTTGCCTGTCTCTCACAGAAAAGAACTACCATATCGTGCAAAGATAAAAGAAGATAAAAATGTTGTGGCACCTTAAAGACTGATATACTTTAATGTGAGCTTTTGAGGACCACGTCCCTTTCCTCAAGCTCTGTTTCTTCCTTGTTTGAAGAAAATAACTGCTCTTTCTTCAAAAGGGGAGGAAATGGAACATGATTGTCACAAACCACATAGAAACATGAGTTATTTAGAGAAAACAAGGGGGAACTGATGCCTTAGTCCACTTGGCTATCCGTTTCTATTGCTCCCACTATTTCCACCAAAACCATAACTATAAAGGAAGAACAACCTTCAAAACATGGCCAAAGAGTCTGAAAAGCCCACAACCACCATCGGATCCTGGCCGTGAAAGCCTTCGAGAATACAATATTTAAAGCCAAAAATGGTACGCATAGAAATGCTAAGGATCAGACTAGGACCACTCTAAGAAATGGTAATCAAAAGCAACACCAAAAAATGCATTCGGAGCAGTAAGGCACAACCATCCATTTAAAATTCCCGTTCAAACAGCCAGTCACTCAGAGAAAGCTTGCCTGAAGAGAAAGGGAGACACGGCCCCTAAGACAGCTTGGGCCCAAAATGTTTAGGGCTTTATTGGTTAGAACCAGCACTTTGAATTGGGTCTGGAAATAAATCAGCAGCCAGTAGAGCTGGGGGTAGGTTGGGTGGGTTTTGTGATCCCTGTAACCGGCCACGGTTAACACTCTGGCTGCAGCATTTTGGACCCGCTGGAGTTTCACAGAACAGTTTCCAAGGGCGGCCCCAAGTAGAGTGCATTACAGTAATCCGGCCAAGCGGTAACCACGGGATTTGTGTCACTGTGGCCAAACCGGACATCTCCAGGAATGGACACAGCTGGCGCACTAGCTTTAATGGTGCGAAGGCACTCCTGGCCACCACTGAAACCTGGGCATCCAGGCTTAGAGAGAAATCCAGGACTCTGCCCTCCGCCCCCAAGCTTCACACCTGTGTTTTCAGGGGAGGTGTACGTAATCCAGCACAGACTCCAGCCTTATTCCTTGATCTGCCTTTTGACTGACCAAGAAGCATCTCTGTCTCGTCTGGATTACGTTTCCGTTTATTCGCCCTCATCCGCTCCATGACTGACACCAGACACTGAATCAGAATGGAAACAGCTTCCTTGGCTTTAGAGGTAAAAGAGAGATGAAGTTGGGGGGGGGACATCTGCATATTGGTGACACTAAACCCTCAAACTCTGAACATGAAACCAGCGGTTTTGTGCATGTGATAAAAAGCAAGGGGGAACAAATCATCGCCCGGAGGGGCCCTCTGAAAGCCAGCGTGTCGAACGGGAATCGCCCAGCGCCACCTTTTGAGTGCTCTCTTCCATTATCTCCCTTCCTACGCTGGGTCTCTGTCTGTAACAAAGCTCTCCTTCCTTGACTTCTTCACTTTGTTATGATAATGGGTAATTTGGACATTTATCAAACTAAGAAGCTGACTTTCTGTATTGTCCAGCTGGTTTATCCACAACCCCATTAGCCTAGTCTTTGGTCTGGATGCTACCTCTCTTTCCAAACCAGAAGTCTACTCTACTGAGTCTTGTATCAAACTAAGAAGCTGACTTTCTGTATTGTCCAGCTGGAACGACGGGTTTATCCACAACCCCGTTAGCCCAGTCTTTGGTCCGGATGCTACCTCTCCTTCCAAACCAGAAGTCTACTCCACTGAGTCTTGCGTAGACCTGCCCCCTGCTGCCTCAGTGAGGTCTGGTACATCTGCCTCCTTTCCTCTGTTCTCTGTGGTGTAGCCTCATGAAGCTGACTTTCTGTATTGTCCAGCTGGAACGACGGGTTTATCCACAACCCCGTTAGCCCAGTCTTTGGTCCGGATGCTACCTCTCCTTCCAAACCAGAAGTCTACTCCACTGAGTCTTGCGTAGACCTGCCCCCTGCTGCCTCAGTGAGGTCTGGTACATCTGCCTCCTTTCCTCTGTTCTCTGTGGTGTAGCCTCATCTCCTGGCTGCATGGCCTCCAAGTTAAACCCCTTCCAGAGGCCTGGTCTAAAACCATCTTCTCCCAGGGTGGCACACCTAGCTGCTGGTCAATCCCAGCCGCCCGTGAGAAAGGTGACTTCTCTATACTTGGTGCTGCAGAGCGAAGCGCCAATTGTCAGACACAGAGTTATGGTCCTGAATTTTGCACGGGACAAATGCTTTGACATCCGGCACAAGGCATCTTCGAGACTCATCCGAAGCGAGGGTCGCCTTACCTGCCAGTGCTGCTTCGGCTTGTTCCCCGAATCCAGAGCCTTCTTCTCCTCTGCTGACGAAGAAGGGGCCTGCCCTGAGGTAGACTGCAAAAGGTAAAGAAAGGCCGGATGAGACAGGGTAGAGAAGACTGACTCCTCGAAAGGGACTAGCCCCATGTCTCTATGAAAGAGGGAATGGCCACTGGAACCAAAGAGCTGATCTCCAACACATGATCAACGCACGGTTTGATAGCTGCAGGCCAAATCATCGAGAGAGGAATCCAGACAGAAGGCAACTTGGAAGAATACGTACATGGGGCGCATGTTTTCAGGCCCCAAAGCATAACTACTGCTCCTGGGAGCCTCCAGAAGCTGCCGTCTGCATTTTAAATAGGTGATGTGAGGAGGTCCAGCGTTCTCACACCAGCAAAACGGCTTATGTTTCAAAACCTGGAAGCAGATTTCCAGTCATTTCTGGTCTCGTTTCTGGGCTGTCTGCAAAGACCATCTGTGCCTGGAGGTTTTTTCCTTGCTGATCGGAAATGTGCACCAGATAAAACTTGTGCAGCTTTATAGGAACACGGGGCTCCTCCTTGGTTCTGCCGCAAGAGATGAAACCCACCGCCCCTCTTGCATCTTCGCACATTGCTCACAGCTCAGCACTTCACGGGGAAATGGGGCCACCCTCTGTCCGATCTGCTTTGATGGGGATTTCTGGACAGAGCAGGGGGTTGGACCGGATGGCCTTTTAAGGCCCCTTTCCCCACTCCATGATTCTTACTTTCCAACGGCAGTGTGGGTTTATCCTTTTCATCCTCTGAGATGCTGGTTGATCTTTCATGCTCTCTGAAGGGAAACAAGGGTCCAGTTGCCTCCGCCTGAGACTCAATCACCGGCAGGAATCCTTCTGTTGGAAACACAACCAGGGCTGACCCATGCATGCTTCAGAAGTGCACGCCATTCCCATGCCTTTTCCAGAGGATGACTACCGTACGAAAGGCACAGGAATGATGGCCATGGAGTCTGGATGGTCCCTATAACAGCCCCTATGCTCAGAAGTAACTTTGCAAATCTGCCATCGCTTTGCTTGCTTTTTCCTCTCCCCTCCTCATCCTGTTTTCCTCTTGAGTTGCATCTTTTAAATGGCCTGTGCCTACAGGCTTACAGTCAGGGACTCACTGTCAAGTCGGACTTCAGCTGCAATGGTGACATGACGTGGGGTGTTTTTTCCCCAACGACTCATACCCACCCACCTTCCTTCTCTTCTGGGGGGGGGGGGAAGCTTCTTTTTAATAAAGACACAGACTCGGCTTTTGGGACATGGTTCCAAAGACTCAGACTCAGACTCGAGACCCAATGCCTTGGCCGGGTATCCCCGCTTCCTGCCTTGTTTGTACAGATCTTATGTATGCTGCGCTGGGAACTTCGGGAGCTAAAAAGCAGAATAAGCATATGTTAAACAAAAGATTCAGCAAAAAAAAAGAGAGAGAGAACCGAAGTAGGAGTTCCAGGAAAAAGGGGGCCATTTTTTGGAGAAAGTTACTATCGTGGCATGTCCTCCAGAAACCGAGGAAGTGAAACTCTCGGTGATTTGGCCCCTGACCTTCTCAAGAAGCAGGGAGAAGATCTAAAGGCAGTTTTTGGGAAGCTTAGGGGACCCTCTTCCTGGCCCCTTCCCTCCGGGCGGCTCCCCTTTACCTTCCATCACCATCTCTTCCTCGTCCGCTGCGTCTCCAGGAACTTGCCTGACGCGCTCCAGGGAATCAAAGATGGCAATGGGTCCCAGGGCCAAGCGGGCCTCGTGACGGTCTGTCTCCACTGCGGCCAGGAGAGAAACAGAGAAGAAAACCGGTGAGTCCACTGCAGGCATTTTCGCCCCCTGCAAGGCAGGTCAAAGTAAAGACAGGGCACTAAGCCTATGCACAGGATGACGGGCAGAGACGTAACTAGTAATTTTGGATATGGAGCAATCGGCAGTGCCTCCCATCCCCTCAACCCTGAGCAATCATCATCCTCATTTTGGAACTGCAGAGCTGGAGGGCGGGGGGCTCTGGATCATCAAGTCCAGCCGTGATCGAGAGTCACCATGGGGGAATCGAACCCCCGACCAGACCTAACCACTGAGTTATCCAGCCGTGTATGAGCCTCTGATGAAAAACAGAAGAGAGTTTCCTCTATGTTTTGGTGACCTGTAGCAAAGCCCCAGTGATTACACCCTAGTTAAAAGGTTGTGGTAAAAGGAAGCAAATTTTTCTTGGTCAGAGTTTGGGGGGTGGTCAAAAACAGACATTACAGGTAGCCTGCCATGAGAGACGGAGCTCGCTTAAGGAGCTGGACCTCATTGCTCAGTCATGCAAGCTGGTCTTCATGGGGCTAAGCAGGGGCTTCGTCTTCAAGCGGGGTGTGTGTGTGTCCCCCTGGGAAGGCCCCTTCAAAGGTCTGAGTCCCCTGTGCAGAACCGTAGAAGTCAAGTAGTTCATTCACAAGGGTTGTGACTGATCCAGAAACAACACCACGGCCCATAATCACCGTGCAATATCTACACTTGTATATAAAAACCTGGAGCGACATACGTCACTCCCGTTGTGTCAGGTGTGGATGGTAATCCATAAACCCTGCAGAAATTAATGCATTAATTCCTTAGTCCTTAAGGGGCAACAAGACTTTGATTTCTAGGTTTGGGTTTGCTGCACGTGCCGAAACCCCAGCGATGTCTTTAAGAAGCAAACGGTCCCCCAATCTGACGGCAAAGCAAGTTCCGTTGCCAGTTCAGTCCCAGTTACCTGCACAGGTAGCCTGTGGGAGGCAGATCACCCCCCCCAGGTATTGATAAGGGCTGCCATCCCTCATTGCAATTAATGACTTTTTCCTTTTGGAAATGGGGGCAAAGCAAAGTTAAATGTCATGAGTGGGAGGAAAGTCAGCATCTTAACATAGCAAGAAAGGTTTTCTTGGCACTTTAAAAGTACTTTTAAAGGTTATTTCGAGCGGAACGTTCAGCGTCAAACTAGGTGAGCTGCCCTCCCTGCAGGGCATAGAGAATGCCCGAGGACCATGGGAGTTGGGGATAATGGGAACTGTTATCGAAATGCAGAAGGCACACAACTGATTGGGGAAAGCGGACGGGGGTGTCCTGTCTGGTGAGCCCATCTGTAAAAGCCAGGCCTGCCGAGTAGACCACACTACCTGTCAGGCTTCTTTGCCCACTGATCTCCCAGGGCTGGTGTCTGGGGCTGACGATGCCCCGTGGCTGCTCCCCCAACGTCCCTCCACTGCAGTCCCTTGTCTCACAACAGTTGCAAATGTCTCCGGATCCCTCGACAGGAAGCCAGCTGCAACGGGAAACAGAATACCTGAGAGTGGGGGCCAGAGTGCCCTCCCATGCTGCTTTATTTTTTTTGGGGGGGGGGAATAGTGGAGAACCAGCTTTGCAATTAGATACCAAGCTGCCTTAAGTAGCAAAGGATGTTGGAACATCTTTCTTTGATGTTTCACAGGCATAAAAGTTGCAAATCATCTTGGTTTTTTTTGGCGGCTGGTCATCTGGGGCAGAAGGTAAACGATGAGCTTCGTTTGATTGCTAATGATGCAAATGAGGAAGCTTTGGGAAAACAGTTCTTGAGGGGGAGACTAATTCTAATTGTGGTAAAGGTAAAGGTTCCCCTTGACAATTTTTGTCCAGTCGTGTTCAACTCTAGGGGGCGGTGCTCATCCCCGTTTCCAAGCCATAGAGCCAGCGTTTTGTCCGAAGACAATCTTCCGTGGTCACGTGGCCAGTGCGACTTAAACACGGAATGCTGTTACCTTCCCACCGAGGTGGTCCCTATTTATCTACTTGCATTTGCATGCTTTCGAACCGCTAGGTTGGCGGGAGCTTGGACAAGCGACGAGTGCTCACTCCGTCGCGTGGATTCGATCTTACGACTGCTTGGTCTTCTGACCCTGCAGCACAGGCTTCTGCGGTTTAGCCCACAGCGCCACCACGTCCCTATTCTAATTGTGAGGCGGTCCTTTTTTGTTTCTTCTCTCTTGATACACACTCTTCCAATAAATACAACTTTAAAAATAATAATTTAAAAATAAAAAGGCAACGCTGACGATACAGACTGCAAGACAGATCTTGGGGAAGCTCCTTTCTGTGGTTTTCACACTTCCCAAAATCTCCCAGCTAGGGGGATTTCTGAGATTTGTAGCCTTCAAAAGTAACTCCTTCAAACTCTGGTCTGAAAAAGTGCAGCCTGTTAAGGATGGTGGCCTGACAAATCAAAAACGGTTCTGAGCAAAATCCAAAAACAAGGGGCGAGGGATTCTGCAAAGACAAATATGCATTTAAGTCCACCAGGAGTCAATAGCTTGCTTGTTTTATATATATATATTTTTAGTGGTTGAATAAAGAAGTCATAAACCCTCTTGGAGGGGGGGTGTCCCATATGCCACCGTAACTCCAAACAAAAGCCTGTGCCACAGGAATAAGGGTGGGTTCCCCTCTCGCCTCCCCTTCCCTGGGTTTTCCTTGACTGTCTCCCATCCACGTCCTGACCAGGCCTGATCCTGCTTCGTTTCTGGAATCAGACGAGCCTGGAGCATCCAGGGTTAGAGGCGGACAGAGTGGTGTGTGTGGTTTGTTTGCTTTTTTGGACTGCCCGTCCCGGAGTACCCCCCCCAAGCAGCACACACCTTGGGCTGCTAGGCGGGGCAATTCTGCAGCATCACCTCCTCCTCCCCCTCGAGGGCAGGATCCAACCTCCAACATCTTCCCCATCCTGGGCCAAAGGTTCAGGGGCAAGTCGGTAGCCTCAGCACCACGATTAGGGCTAGGGTTGTCTATTTGCCCCTGGGGACGGTTCTCACAGCCAGGGTCTCCTCTTAAGGAAGGCTGTGCCCACCACAGCTGTATTTTCCTGTATTTTCTGGAAGAGGAGGCACCGAACAGAGGGGAGGAAGTGACCCGGGAAGGGGTCCGAGGAGAGGAACTCACGCGCCGCTGGCCGCCCTGAACGAACAAGCTTTGTTCGAGGCGTCCGGGACTTGTTCCGCTGGCGTCACTTTCAGGTGGCACTTAAGGTAGATCTAGAAACGAGAAAGATGTGTTTATGAGGACGTGGAAAACGGCCCCGCAGCTGGATCAGTGCCTCTCTGATCTCACGTCCTCTACACACAATGGTCTCCGAGAGCCCTAATCCAAAAAGCCACGTCTCTCAACTTGGGACATGCCTTTGCTAAGGGTACCAGGAGGAGAAATACTGGGTTGACGTGGTCGGAGCGATGAGCTAGGAAGTGGAGATCCGTAGATTGAATAAATAAATAAATAAATAAATACTGGGTTGACGTGGTCAGAGCGATGAGCTAGGAAGGGGAGACCCATAGATTCAAATCTCCGCTCCGCCAGGAAACTTACAGGGCGTGTGTATGACACTGGAAATAGCTTGAATGCTATTCCTCCATCCGGCAGGGGATGGACCAGAGGGCTCTTGTCTTGGGCACCCTCCCCGTTTTGCAGTTCTCTGGCCTTCCCCTCACTTGTACTGAGTTTTATCCAAATTGAATGCTCCGTTGAGAGAGTCCCATGCCTTATGGAGTGGTATACAAGCCAAATACATGCAAATAACTACGGACCATCATATCAGTTCTGACTTAAGGGTGTCCTTTCTAAGTGCAACCAAGTGCTTTACTATTCCCTTCTTCTTCTGGAATTGCCCTCCTGGGACGACTGTCCCACTTGCCCAAGGCTACCCAGGCTGGCTCTTCTACCCAGGAGGACCTCCCATGCCTTATGGAGTGGTATACAAGCCAAATACATGCAAATAACTACGGACCATCATATCAGTTCTGACTTAAGGGTGTCCTTTCTAAGTGCAACCAAGTGCTTTACTATTCCCTTCTTCTTCTGGAATTGCCCTCCTGGGACGACTGTCCCACTTGCCCAAGGCTACCCAGGCTGGCTCTTCTACCCAGGAGGACCCGTGGGGGGCCCAAGGCTACCCAGGCTGGCTCTTCTTCCCAGGAGGCCCCGTGGGGGGGGGTAGAACTCCCAACCTCTGGCTCTGTGGCCAGAGCACCTAAAAACCACTGAACTCTCCAGCCTGCATACTTATCTACCTACATGCATGCGTGCCTACTCCAGAGCGTGGGGCTCAGCTCCGTGAGCGACTCGTTTCCTTTGGATTCACGTGCTTAGAATTCTGCAATCCGTAGCGTGGGAGGGAAACCAACTCTTAAGGGAAGGGGGGAGGAAGAAGCTCTTACCAGATTCCCTGCATTGCCAGCGAACCTGAAAGCGTCCACGGTGAACCTCAGGACCTCCTGTCGTGGCCGTGGGGAGAGGAAGGTGGAAGAGACCCCTTTCGCTTTCCCATCTACGAGGCACCTGCGGGAGGTGAGGGGGGGGAGGATTGCTCTGCGGCTCAATATCTGCCAGGTGAGAAGCAGGAGTTTTTGGGACTACAACTCCCATGCGGAGTGGGGGCCTCCAGGAATTGTAGTCAAAAAATAATAATAATGAATGGCAACTTTTCCAAGCTCTGGAAGTACCTCGCTGATTACAGTAGGCCCCTTATCTCCAGGACCAGTATCCGCTGATTCACTTATTCACAGTCTGAAAATATTAAAAATATTCAAAGAAAAATCCTAGACATATCTATTTCCAAAGATGAGTTACCAGAACTGGCCGCTAGAGGGAGCCAGAGACCATGCTATGTTCGGTGTTCGCTATAATCCACATTTTCCAGGATCTGCGGGTGGTGGTGGTGGTGTATCCAGTACAACTTACCCATGAGAATCCACAATGGCGTACTGGGGTGCCGAAGGGTTTTCAAGGCTCGCCACCGCCACGCAGCTGTCCACGTAGAGTCTCAGAGGCAGGTGGTTTTCCACCCGGAGGTCCGCTTGCAGATGCAGGAGGTCTCCGAGCTGGAAGCGGGTGGACCTTCTCTCGGCGCTCCAGTCATCTGGGAGAGGACACAGCCTTTGATCCTGGCTTAGCCCCACAAAGCTTTCCCACGCTTTGTTTGCAAACGAGAAGGGTCAAGTTTCCAGACCTCATGGATCTGTAGTACATGTGTTTTAACAGATCTGGCTGCAGAACAGACCAACCAAGTGACGGCGGGGTCCCCAGCATCTCCAGTCCCGACATGAGCTCAGACCACAGTTCCTATGATTTCACACTGTAGTGGTTTTACACTCAAGGAAAAAATACTGTATATATATCTGCAGGGTCAGATTACTGCCCATCTGCCTTGAGGTTTCTCAGAAGGAAAAACAGAGGCGCACCATGTCATGGAAATAAAACGTTTTGCAAGAGACGTTGTGACGATGGTTACTGGTCCCAGCCAACCCCCGTCAGATTACTGCCCATCTGCCTTGAGGTTCTCAGAAGGAAAAACAGAGGCACACCATGTCATGGACATAAAACGTTTTGCAAGAGACGTTGTGACAATGGTGACTGGTCCCAGCCAACCCCTTGAGATCCCAACAACCCAGGCCCCTTGGTTTGTGCATGCTGGACTACAACTCCCATCATCTCATGCCAACAAACGGGGACGATAGGAATCGTGTTTCAACATGTCTGGCTCGCAGCAGCTGGTGGGCAGGGTGGCCTAAAGTCGGCACAAGGCCAAGCTTCCTCCCCTGTCGGTCAGACATCTGGCTTCCCCCCCAACGTCTCCCCGCCTTACCCGTCATCAAGCGCAGGGAGAAGCCCAGCCTCGCTTCGGCCGACACCGTAGACCGGAAGGGCGCCCAGGTGGGCTTGACTGCCCGGCTGCTCACGTTGTCCATCCTGGAAAGGAAGCCGTGGAGAAAACAGGGGTGCTCTTGACAGGCAGAGGAGTCTGGATGCTGTGTGGGTCCGAACAGGCCACTTCATTCTCTCCCTCCCGCCTGGAATCTTTCTTTGGACACCAACTCCCAGCTCCCTCCCAGAACATGGCACTCACGAATGTGACCGTCCACTGACGCCTCCCCCAGATGCCCCGTTGGCATCAACACCGCCTATGCTGATGCACCGATGTAAATTTTGGATTTTTATAATTTTATCCTTTGATGGAGGCCATGGTGTCTGAAGGGGTTTGGGCTCCCCCCCCGATGACTTTCCACCTTAAAGGAACGCGAGTTTCCATCTTGACCCAAAGGGCAAGCCCCCCCCACGCCCACCAGATGCTGGTGAACCAGAGGCATGAACCTCACCTTTCCGCTTGCAAAGGTGGACAGAAATCGCCCCTTCTCCCCACATTGCTAACGACACACAGCTTGGAACAAGAGCAAGGGGGGGGGGTAAAACACAGCACAGAAGACCCCCCTTTGAGCTCCGTTTCCCCTCCCTCTGGGCCCCCTTTTCTGACCTGGGGTAGCGGCATTCAATGGGCACCTCCGCGGCGTTGGTTCGGACGACGACCGGGTTGGCAGCCAAGGAAGGTCTGTAGAAGAGGCTCATCCGGTAGATCAGCCAGTCTGGAGTCATCTGGAAAGAAAAACAGGGTGCAGGTTTCGCTTTTTTGAAAAACGCCAAGGAAACTTCAGCCCCCCCCCCCCGGATTAGGCCTCCGGAGAGGACTTTCAGCATGGCGGAGGAGGAAGGGGGGAAGTTGCGCCCTAAGGTCTCGCTCCGTGCAGCTGGCCCAAGGCTCCCCAGGCTGGATCTGCTCCGAGGAGCCATGGGGGGGGGACTCAAACCCCCAACCTCTTTCTCCATGGCCAAGAGCTCCCACTCACGGAGCTCCCCCCCCCCAGCTCCCAAAGGCCGGCATACCTGCACGGAGCTGCCACACTGGTGGAGGCCGGCTTCGAAAAGGACCTCGTCCGCGGCAGCGTCGAAGGAGACCGGGAGGCAAGGGGTCAGCCCGAGGGTCAGGTCGGTGGGGGCGACCAGCCGGCCCACGCCAAACAAGTCCCGGTGGACGGTCACCACCACGCGGTAGGGGTCACACCGCACCTTCACCGCGTGAGAGCCAAGAGGTGCCACCCTCGAAAGGGGGGCGCCAGGGTGCACCCCAGCGGGGTTGGCGCGACTCAGGCCCCTCCAAGCAGGGGACCAGGGCTGGGCGAAGCATCCCAGCTGAATCAGCAACATCAGCACCAAACACCAGTACCACCGCGCTGGCATCTTTTTCTCCCCTGCACCCAGGGCGAGGTCAACCCCAGGCCTCCCTTTATAACCAGCTTCGTTGCCTTCTCCGATGCAGAGTAATTAGGATCTGGTCCCTCCCTTCCCCGACCAGCTCCCCTTCATTCCCTGCAGCTGTGTCACAGGTGGACGTTCAACAGGGAGAGCTTCCGCTGCTTCTGGAGAGCAGAGCCATCCATCACCATGCACCTGGTTGGGGGGGGGTTGCCTTCCTTTCAGCCAGGACAGGTGTGGAGGTGCTACCTGCACAAAAGAAATAGAAATGAAAGTAATTAAAAATAATGTTCCTGTCAACCAGGAGGCTCCTTGGGAAATTTTTTCTTGGTTCACGCTACAGCTCCCGCAGCCCCTCAGCCATCACGTCTCCCCCCCCCCGGGCGTTTGCCAAAGTCTGCCCCTGATCTTTTTGCTGACTGACATTGAACTTCCTTGCCAGTAAATAAGTTCATCCTCCTCATGATTCTTGTCTGCTGTCGTTCTCTGCTGTCAAGTCGCCTCCGACTCGTGGTGACCTTAGGAACGAGCCCTCTCCACGTCAGGTCCCGTCCTCAAAACAGCTCCGATCAGGTCTTGCAAACTCAAGCCTGTGGCTTCCTTGAGGGAGTCCGTCCATCTCGTATTGGGTCCTCTTCCTTTCCTGCTACCTTCCACCTTTCCCAGCGTTATGGTCTTTTCCAAAGAATCCTGCCTTCTCATGAGGTGCCCAAAGACACATTACAGTTA